GGCCAAGAGAGTGACTGAATGGCATTCAGTATCCTGGATGAATTTCTCAGGGTTGAGTGAAAGAACCCAAATATGAGAGTACATATTATAGGATTCCATTTATGTGAAGTTCACAAACAGGCAACACTACTCGAGGATGATAGAAATCGGGGGAGTTGTTACCCCTGGAGGAGCGAAGGAGCAGCCGGAAGTGAGGATAAAGCTCCCCAGAGCTGGTCATTTTCTGTTTCTGGCTGTGGTTACACAGGTGTGTTCAGCTCAGGGGAAGTCATTAAGCTCTTTTTCACTTGGGACTCATAGACTTTTTTTCTATGCTGTATTTCAGTAGCAGTAAAAGACAAAACATGAGCCCTGGTTGGTGTGGCTCAGTGGATCAAGTGCTGGCCTGTGAACCGAAAGGTGGCCTGTTCAATTCCCAGTCAGGGCATATGCCTGGGTTGCAGGCCAGGTCCCCAGTAGTGGGGTGTGCAAGAGACAACTGATCCATGTATCTCTCACACACAGATGTCTCCCTGTCTTTCTCCCCCCATCCATTCTCTCTAAAAATAAATAAATATAATCTGTTTTTAAAAAAACAAAACATGAACTCTCTTTTTTCTTAATTGGGTTTTTAATCATTTCAAACACAGGAATTTAGGGAGGGTGGAAGGGAAGAGCATGGTTACACTTGACGAGAGAGTAAATTAGTACAGGGCTTTTGAAGAGCTATTTGGCAGTGCCTCTCAAGCTTAAAATATCCTAGAAATTCCACTTCCAGGAGCCTCTCCTGGGTTTCAGCTATGCAGAGGTAGATAGTATAAGAACGTTCCCTGGGCATTTTTATGCAATCGTAAAGGAGACAACTAAATTTTTCTCCACAGGGAAGTAGTCATGTGAGTTACAGAAAACCAATCAATTACGGACACTTGTTAAAACGGGCGTCAATCTGTATGTGGCGGCGTGGAAGGAAGCCCCCCACGGCATCGCTGACTGCAACACTGGGTACAGAGAGCGACCCATATATTTAAGGGAGAAAGAAGAGGGTGTGCAGATGGTGGTTATAAAAGCGAGGGAGAGAAGGGTAGATATAAAATTCGTATATTGGTTTCTCTTGCGAATTTGCAGCTGGTGGATGGGGGCTGCCATTCCTTTGCTTACTTTACATGTATGTGATATTCTCTTGTGTTTCTTTTCACCTGCATTTATCACTTTTGAATTTTTTTTTAAGTCTGAGCCTTGCCACTCCAAAACATGTTAGCCTAAGGAAAGGCTTACTGGTGGGAAAACAAACAGTAATTTTATAATGTAGGCAAATAAAGATCTTGAGTTTGTCTTAAACACACACACAAAGCAGGAGGTGAATAACATTTTTGTAGACTGATTTTCATCAGTATTGGTTACAGAGAGAGACAAAAGGTTTATTTCTAGAACTATTTTGGTTACCCAGGAAATTCACTTGGGTAGAACAATTCTTTTCTTAAGGGGCATTCTTTGTACTGTTTGCTGGTGAGGTCGTGGGTCTCGTGTTCCTGCTCTTTGAGAGGTGGTTCAGTTAACGATATTGTCCCTGTGTGTGACAGATGACCCCCGCTAGCATATTAGACAAAGCATCTCTAGACAGTGGACTCAGCTTGCTTTAATAATGAAAAACATTTTTGCACTGGGAGCCAAGAGTTTGTAGCTAAGCCTGCTGAGCCGGACACAAGCTTGTGCTGAAAATTCTTAAACACTCACTCCCCTGGAGAGACACCCCGACCCCATTTGCAATGCGTCTTCGTGAATGCTTATGTTTCCTGTGTGGATCATCGGCAAAGGGCCAGCCCTGACCCTTTCACTTTGAATCAAGCAGCTCGCAATGTTGTTTCAGACCCTGCCATGTTGGATTATGTCTGTTGCCAGTCTTACTGATCCAGTGGAATGTTAAATGTACGTGAATAGATTACCTGTCAGTTACAGTGAATTCGGCCCCAGAGCCCCATTAGCATGAGGCTTGGCACTCTATAGAATTCTGTTTCATTTTGTGCATCTTCACTTTTCATAAATTCTGTTGCTACAGATGCAAGCACAAAAACACATCTTCATTAAGTGTTGCTTTGGAATTTATTCACAGTACCAAGCAGATAAAAGAATGTCAAATTTCAACTCTACAGAGGACACACAGCAACATTCAGAGTCTATTCCCTGCTGTCCAGCTCAGACGTCCAAACTGTGACAGGGAGGTGGGCTTCTCCCATCGAACAGTTTCCAGTGTCCCTGGGAAACATGTCTGGGGGCTTAATGATCTTCTCAGTAAGTCTTCCTCCTTAAACAGGGGACTGAGCTAACATCCCTGCAACATCCCCCTCTTCTCCTCATCCCTCTCTGCAGGGCCCCCGCTACCTCATCCTGTTGGGGAGGGGGGTGCTAAAAACAGAGTTCAGGAACTGTTGTTCAGATCAACCCCTTAGCCTGTTCCTGTTTCATTCTTCTGTTGAGGAGATGACATGCTAATCCACTTTTTAAATCTTTCCAGAGACCTGGGGGTCATTCCCCTTTATCCTAATCTAATCTACTAACTCTGTTATACAGTCCTGTCTGCTTCTGAAGTTTGTCTGGAATTCACTCACTCCTCAATTATTCACTGCATATTGCATTGGTCTTGGGTACAGTCATCCTTTGATCCCTGCAGGGGGTTGGTCCCAGAACCCTCAAAGATACCAAAATTCAAGGATGCCCAAGTCTCTTATATAAAATTGTGCAGTATTTGCATATAACCTACATATGTCTTCCCATATACTTTAAATCATCTCTAGATTGCTTATACTATCTAATACAATGTAAATGATCTGCTAATAGTTATTATACTGCACTGCGTAGGGAATAATGCCAAGGTGTTCAGTACACAGACACCATCATAGGCCTAGCTACACAGTGCTCATCAGCAACAAGATAACTTTTTTGTTTTCTGAATATTTTCAATCCCTGGTCAATTGAATCCACAGAAGCGGAACCATGGATACAGATGGGTTCAGGGTGGTCTTAGGAAAACTGAGCTTGATCGTGTCTTTGCCTTGCTCAAAACCTTGATGCCACCCTTGGGATAAAGCACAAAACCCTTAAGCATCCTGAGTCCACATTATCTGACCCTTCTCAACATTTCTAGCACTTTGCACCGATGTTCTTATTACACTTTCTTGCAGGTTCCAGAAGGCAGAAAGCACTTCACCTCTGCCTAGAGTGTCGCCTTCCCTCGGACTTCAGGTGACTCTTCAGAAGTCACCTGAAGTTCTGAAGTGTGTTCAGATACGTGCCCCCACCAAACCTTTAGTTGTGGGTGTGCCCACTCTGGCCTTGGGGCCTGGTAGTGGGCAGCCTGGCATATGTTAGGTGTCCTTAATTGCTAAACAAATGACTGAAAGCTTCTGTCCTAGCTCTGTGGTTAAAATTGCTCTAGTATTTTGTTCCACATACCGTGAAAAAAGCTAAAACAGAAATGAGCCCTGGCTGGTGTGGCTCAGTGGATTGAGTGCTGACCTGAGAACCAAAGGGGCCCTAGTTCAATTCTCAGTCAGGGCATGTGCCGGGGTTGTGGGCCAGGTCCCCAGTAGGGGGCGTAAGAGAGGCAACCACACGTTGATGTTTCTCTCCCTCTCTTTCTCCCTCCTTTCCCCTCTCTCTAGAAATAAATAAATAAAATCTTTTAAAAATAAATAAATAAAAGAGAAACGAAATACAGTGGAACCTCGGTTCTCAAACTTAATTCATCCACAAGGCTATCTGAGAACCAGATTGTTCCGGATGGCAGTCATTTGGGCACCGGGGTTTAACTGCAGTTTGTCCTGAGTCACATAGCAGCAGCAGGCCAGAGCCTGGTGCTGTCTCCTGGGGGGATGGTTTAGACACTAGCATTTTTTCTGTTTTTTTTTATATTATTATTTTTCTTTGGTTTTGTATGTTTTGTCTTTTATTTTGCTGGATGCTAACTTTTTCATGGCTTAGGGACCTGGTTCCTGAACGGTGCTGGAGTGTGAGATGCGTGCTTCACTTGGGCCTTCCTTTGTTCAGGACTAAACATGCCCAGAATTTAGAGCAGTTTCTTTTCCTTTGATGAAGTCCTCCTTTAGCCCAGGGTGACACTGATGGGCTTTGGGTTTGGCCTTGCCTTGCCCTTCAGCCGTGGTGAAGAGTAGAGAGGACTGTCGCCGAGTAAAGGTGCGGCTTGGGTTAGGATGCAGAATGCCGTATCTGGACTGGGCCCTTTCCCACCCTCCCTTCTGAAAGCTTTCCCCGGCCACGGCTTATTGGCCCCCTGCAAGGAGGGCAGCTGTGGCAGGTGCAGAATCCTCAGAGGTTCATCCCCCAAGAGGAGATCAGTCCACGGACCACCTCAAGCGGACCTGCAGTCTTCTTCCCTCATGTTTTAAAACTCTTGTTAGTGCCAGCATTTAAAAATCAAGATTAGAGTCCTGGGTGGTGTGGCTCAGTGGATTGAGTGCCGGACTACAAACCAAAACATCGCTGGTTCGATTCCCAGTCAGGGCACATGCCTGGGTTGTGGGTCAGGTCCCCAGTAGGGGGCGTGCGAGAGGCAACCACACAGATTTTTTTCTCTCCCTCTCAACTTCCCTTCTCCTCTCTAAAAAATAAGATAAAATCTTTTAAAAATATATAAATAAATAAAAATCAAGATCATCATGTAGAAATTTGAGTTTCTGTGTTCTCCTGAGAGAGAGAAAAAAAAAATAAAGCAAAATCAGCCCACAGCAACTGGCTGGAGCTGAGTAGAGACTGCCCCTTAAAACAAGACATGGTTTTCTTTTTGCCATGATCTCTGGCCAGCCTCCTATGTTTATTTGTTTTAGCTTCCGGGGCTCTGTTGGCATGTAAGTGTGTGACCCCTATTATATTTGTAAGTCATGTGTATGTGCGTATGAAAGTTGTAATCAACACTCTCTAATGATTTTTTTCTCTCTCCTCTTCTCTTTTTTTTTTTTTACTGTCTCCTTTCCCCTCCCTTTTCCACCGCCTGTGTCATTTTACAGATTCTGGGACTGCTGGTATGGACACTTATCGCTGGAACTGAGTACTTTCGGGTCCCTGCATTTGGCTGGGTCATGTTTGTAGCGGTATTTTACTGGGTCCTCACCATCTTCTTCCTCGTCATCTACATAACGATGACCTACACCAGGATCCCCCAGGTGCCCTGGACTACCGTGGTAAGGAAGCCGGGCCCTGCGCTTGTCCGCTGCCCACCAGGGAGGACGGAGTGTCATCCTCCCCGGGTCAGTTTTGCATTTCACTATAAGCGGTCAGAAGGAACCAAGCTGCTCTTTCAATACTGTACTTAAAAATTTCCTCTGCTCAATATCCAACTCCATAGCTTGCAAATTCTCCCTTCTGCAAAACACCAGAACACAGTCTGGCCAAATTCTCTGCCACTTCATAACAAGGATCACCTTTCCTCCAGTTTTCAGTGATGTGTTCCTCATTTTCACCTGAGACCTCAGCAGAATTGCTTTTAACACCCATATTTTTTATCAATATCCTGTTTATGATTATTTATGTACTTTCTAAGGAGGCAGAAGCTTTCTCTCCAGTTTTTCTCTTTTCTTTCTGAGCCCTCACTAGAATCTCTGCTAACGTTCTGCTAACATTCATGTTCCCAGCATGCACCTCTCCTCATTGTCCAGCCCCAGAGCCTTTCTAGAAGTTTTGGTATTTATCACAGGAGCCCTCCACTCCTGGTTCTAAAATCTGTCTGCCTCACTCTTACTACCAAACTCTGTAGTGGTCAGGGTTCTCCAAAGGAGTCAAAGCAATAGGGTGTGCATGTAAAAGTGTATAAGGAGCTTTATTATAAGGAGTTGGTTCACGTGACTGTGGAGCCTGAGAAGTCCCGTGATCTGCAGTCAGCAAGCTGGAGACCCAGGATGGCCGATGGTATAAGTACACTCTGGTCCAAAAGCTGGAAGGCTCAAGGTCTAAGAAGACCCAGTGTTTCCTTCCAAAGTCAGGAAAGTCAAGTTCAAAATCAGGAAAAAAGATCGATGTTCCAGCTCAGAGCAGTCGGCCAGGTGCAGTTCCCTCTCGACTCACAGGAGTGTCTGCCTTTTTGTTCTATTCAGGCCTTCAACTGACTGGATGAGATGAACCGGCAGGGCCCCCCGTGGGGAGGTGTTTGGGGAAAGAACGCCTCCTACCTACCTCTGCTCCACCCCTGCCATTCCCGCTTCACTCCAAGGGAAATAGGAGTTCATTTCCTTAGAAAAATGGATCGGGCCACAGTTAATAAGGGACAGGGTCGTATACTCAGGAAGTTCACAGGTCATACAGCCGGGGAGTCTTCTCCCCATTTCCCCTCTGGCCCCCTCACCCACACCAGCTATGCGGGCAAGGCCCGGGAGCAGTCTCAGTGCGTCATGGCGTTGTGGCCAGGTGAGCTCTCTCTGAATGTTCTCTCGTTCTTCGTGATCCCCTGTATGGGGACTGGGCACGCATGGGTGCCCCAGAATACACACTCAGACATGGTCATTACAGCAGTGTCTATAATCCTGGAAACACTAGGAACGTCCAAATGCCTTTCCATGGGGGAAAAGTTAGACCGTGACGTGTTAGTACCAACCACGTGGCTCCACTGGTGTGAGAGAGAGTGTTTGCCTGTGCCCCAGAGGCAGGGGTCGGCGTGGAAGGGGAGGTACTGGCCTTTACTCCAGACTGTTGTGTCTGACTGGATTTTGTTTGGGTATGATGAACATGCATTACCTTTTTTTTAAAAAAGCATTTTAATGTTTCAAAAGTAATACATGGCTAGTTTACTAAAGAAAAAAGTAAGTTTAACCCCCACCTATAAAAGGATGCACAATGAAAACTACGGTTTTCTACTCCCAGAGGTAACTATGTTTAACTGTTTCTGCACTTTAAAAATGGTGGGGGGGGGGGGTCCTTAACTTGGCAAATAGCAAATGTGCAAAGCTCAAGAAGTAATGTGCAATTTTTTACTTAAACAAGTAAAGGTTTTAAAAATGCACTCATGTTCCTGCCCCCTCCCCCCCAAAAAAAACAAACCACCACCAACCAGCATACTGAGTCATCCAGAGAAGTCAGGGCTTTCTGGGGATACTTTTCTTTTTTTTCTTTCTTTTTTCTTTCGGTTTTTAAAATTTATTTTAATTGTTGTTGCAGTACAATTTTCTATTTTTTACTCCCAGCCCTCCCCTCCTCCCTCCCATTTCCACCCTCCCCCAGTTTTTATCCATGTGTCCTTTATACTTGTTCCTTGGGGACACTTTTCTAATGGTAGATGAGCACCCTGGGTGGCCCGAACAGAACCCTGGGGCTGACCCTTCTCTTACAGGTGAGTCGCCCTAACCCAGGAACAATCTGAGCAAGTGTAGAGGTGGTAACAGGGGTATATTACCTGTTTCTCAGTGCTGGAGCCTGAATCTGGAAAACTCTATGTGCCTTCGTTTTCTCTGAGAACCAAAAGATACCGCCTCCTCCCCCTTTCCCTCCCCATCTCTGTGTCTCTGAGCTACAGAGGGACAGGTGTTAGACCTTAGGGGCCCTATTCCTTGAGAGTCACCCCTCTTCTCCTCTGTGTGAAGCATTGATTTTTCCACACCCCTCCTCCTTGTTCAGATAAGAACAAGCTTTAAACCTTTTCAGAGTCTGGTTTCCTAGAGTTTACATACAACTGAAAACCAAATACCTACTTGGAGTTACATATCTCCCTTCTCTAAGAAGAGGAAAAAATAAAGCCTTGGGTGAGATCAGTTCCCAAAGGGCTCTATTAATGTGTGTAATCTCCTTTTCATGTTTAAGAACTCGCAGCACCTTGAGGAGCTCACTTAAATGCCCCTCCCTGCCTAGAGCAAGGGATCAGAAAATCAGTTGGGTCTGCTTTGGGGAAAGCTCCCCTCTGCCAGGGCAAGTGCTGAAGGGTGCGGCTCCTGCCAGGGACCATGGCTGAGGCGCATCTCAGTGGTGGCACCTTCTGCCATCTTCCTTCCTCAGCCAGTGTGTCACCGTGGCTGACATTGGAAGAAATGAGGGTCAAGAGCAAATTGAGAGAGAGAGAGAAGGCCTTGAGGGGGCAGCGGGCAGCCTGGGTGTGCTGGGGGAGAAGATGGGGTGTCTGGGTGTGCTGTGAGTGAGGTGGTGTAAAATCCTCTCCTCCCCAAAACACAGATGAGCTGCCTTCTCGCAGCCCATGTCCCCTGCCTTCTCCTGGGTACCCAGATGAGCTCCTGACCACATCCAAGGTGCGGTCCTGGCCACGCCTGAGGTTCAGAGGTGCCCGGACCTCCCCACGCTCCCTAAACCCTGCACCCCTCTGTCGCCCCCAGGGCCTGTGCTTCAACGGCAGCGCCTTCGTCTTGTACCTCTCGGCCGCTATCGTGGATGCGTCCTCCGTCGCCCCGGAGAGGGACAGCCACAACTTCAACAGCTGGGCTGCCTCCTCGGTGAGTGAGCCCTCTCACCCGCCCCCCATGGTCACCTCCTTCCTCCCTGAGGCCCTCTGGGGATCAGGAGGAGGGGACAGAGTCATCCCCCGGAAAAAGCACCACCTGCAGTGCGACACATGGGTGATGATGAGCTGGTGGGTTGGAAAGCTTCGTAAATTGGCGGCCCTAGTAGCCCCAGTGGCCTGAAGTGCAAAGAGGCTGAAATACTCTGCCTGAGTGAGAGCCAAATGGCTGGAACAAAACAAGTATTTGAGGGAGAAAAAAACAACATTTGAGGCATTCTAAGAATAACCATACTGACTGCAGTTTAAGTGGGGAGAGTCTTGCAGAAAATGAGCACACTATGATGCTATTTGCTTGCTGGGTTGTTGTGTGTGTTTTTTGTTTTTTTTGGTTAAGATTTCATTTATTTTCAGGGAGGGAAAGGGAGGGAGAAAGAGAGGGAGAGATACATCAGTGTGTGGTTGCCCCTCACGCACCCCCTACCGGGGACCTGGCCCCGCAACCCAGGCATGTGCCCTGACCTGGAATTGAACAACTGACCCTTGGTTCGCAGGCCAGTGCTCAGTCCACTGAGCTGCACCAGCCAGGGCTGCTTGTTCTGTTCTGTTTTTTTAAATAGAAATGTTTGATTATTCATTGAGAATGCTTAGAAAAAGATACACCAACAGAGAAGTTCCTTCCAAGGACTGTGATTGGATGATGAGTGTGGAATGAGGGGCTTCTGCTTTTTATTAGGTTGGCCAAAAAGTCTGTTTAGTTTTTTTTCTGTAAAATAAAAAACGTATGTTTCATTTTCACCAATAATTTTGTTAATTTGGATATTCTGAGTATGTTGGCTATCTCCCACTATTGGCTTCAGGTGGGTAGAGGCCAGGGTTGCTGCTAAACATCCTCCAATGCATGAGACAGCCCCACAGCAAAGAATTATTTGGCCAAAATGTCAATAGTACCAAGAAACTTCACAGACCACTTTTAACACATTCCATCAGTCATGGTACCTTCTCCATACATTGTACAAATCTTTTTGTGTGTGTTTCAGTTACATTTTTTTAAAGATTTTATTTATTTATTCTTTAAAAAGGGAAGGGAGGGAAAAAAGAGAGAGAGAGAGAAACACCAATGTGCGGTTGCTGGGGGCCGTGGCCTGCAACCCAGGTATGTGCCCTGACTGGGAATCGAACCTGCGACACTTTGGTTCGCAGCCCGCGCTCCATCCACTGAGCTACGCCAGCCAGGGCTCAGTTGCATTTTTACCTTTCTTGAAATAATAAAGCATAACATACTGAAAATGTTTCAGATCTTCTTCCATCTTTAATATTAAAGTGGCTGCACAAAAATTCACCAATTTTGATAAGTTTTTTTAATGCACGCTGATATGACAGCTGTCACAATACAGTCTAACAAAATTGTTTCAAATGAAGTTAAACACAACTAAACACTGCTAGAGCCATCGCACAGGAAAAACTAAACCAACTCTTTGGCCAACCCAATAATTAATGTGTTTCTGTACTGTTTGCATTTTTAAACCATGAGTGTGTATTGTTTTTCTAATTTAAAAAACTGATTTTACCTGGCTGGCGTAGCTCAGTGGATTGAGCGCGGGCTGCGAACCAAAGCATCGAAGGTTCGATTCCCAGTCACGGCACGTGCCTGGGTTCACACATTGATGTTTCTCTCTCTCTCTCTTTTTCCCTCCCTTCCCTCTCTAAATAAATAAATACATAAATAAATAAAATCTTAAAAAATTAAAAAAGAACTGATTTTAAAGGTTTGTTTAATATTGGCCTTACAATATTCCATCCACAAAAGAAGTGTTGGGGGGGGTGGGTAGGAGGGAACAGTTAGATAGGGTTGCTGAAGTGATGGTAAAGCTGATTGACGATACATGGGTATTCTTTATAGTTTTTACTTATATTTCAGAATTACTGTTTAAAGGTGGCAGGCACGAGGGCACATGAGATTAAAAATCACAAGCTTTGGCAGCCCTGGGCTCCAGTTAACACGTAGCAAGAATCCTCTGGAACTGGGTGGATGTTGCCCCGCCAGAGGGGCCTGCGTTTTCCAGCTCACCACCCTCCCCGCACACCCCGTGTGGGCCCCTCCCTTCTTCCTGCCAGCTCTGTTCAGTGCGGGTACCTGACCCCGTGGCCGTCTGGGCCACGCCCTGGTCTGACATTGCCTGTACAGTGGTCCCCCGTTATCCGGGGTTTTCTTTGTTTGGTTTCTTACCCGCAGTCAGCCGCAGTCCAAAAACATGAAATGGAAAAATTCCAGAAATAAACAATTCGTAAGTTTTAAATTGCACACCAACCTGAGTGCCATGATGAAGTCTCGCACCATCCCACTCTGTCCTGCCCAGGACATGACTCATCCCTTTGTCCCCCATGTCCACACGGGATAGGCTCCCTGCCCCTTGGTTACTTAGATAGGTTATCAGAGAGAGAACACATGCACGTAAGTTGTATTACAGTATATAGTTACAATCATTCTATTTTGGTATTAGTTATTATTGTTAATCTCTTACTGTGCCTAATTTATAAATTAAACTTTACCATAGGTATGTGTGTACAGGGAAGAAACAGCATATACAGGGTTTGGTGCTATCCATGGTTCCAGGCGTCCACTGGGGGTCGTGGAATGTGTCTCCTGTGGATAAGGGGGGCTGATGTACTAAACTAGAAATGCACGTGCTCTTCTCAGATGCATGCCCCCACATTCACCCCCGAGTGACTTCCCCAGGGTTATTGGAGCAAAGCTGTAGGCTTTCCAGATAGGTTCCAAAAAAGAAAACAAGATAGCCCGAAATTGTTTCAGAGGGAAGTAATCGAACCGGTAAAGCAGTTTCCGATCAGAAGGCCCGGAGTCGAGGGGTGTGGAGTGCGTGCGTCGGTGGAGGGGAATGATAACTTTTGCCAATTCGAATGTGCCCTAAACCCCTTTTCTATTACGCTTTTTTTTTCCCTCCAGTTTTTCGCCTTCCTGGTCACCATCTGCTACGCTGGAAACACGTATTTCAGTTTTATAGCTTGGAGATCCAGGACCCTACAGTGATTTGCCATTCTGAGAATGAAGAGGGGGGAGAAAAGGAAGAATCTCACTGTAAAAACAGCTGTAGGTATAATGTATATTTCCAGAGAATTATATTTAACTAATGTTTTTATATACTTAGTTAAATTTCGCTCCATGGTTTGTTACAATTAAACTGGATATTTGTTTGCAAAGTGCTGTAGGTTATAATGACCTCTTAAAGATCTTGCTGGTGTCTTCATGCACCTTATTACTATTTTCTTAGACAATGTATAAATGGATAAAATGCTAATGTGAAGAAAGTGTCAAGTTTGTAAACCTAACTTTTAAAATGCCAGATTTTTTTTTGATTAAATGTTTTAAAATCTTGAATAACATTATATTGATTTGAGAAAGGAGGCCTGTAGCTGAAGCCCGAGGGGGCGGGGATGCTATGCTTCATTCTCTCAGGGCTGTGCAGGTACGGTGTTGCTAGGAGACACTTGTCCGTGGCTGCTAAGCCAGGGTGGTAGGAGAGAGCCAGCTCCCCAACTCGGGGATCATTGGTGTCCATGATTCTCACATGCCAACCAGTAGACCCGGGGAGCATCTGATGAGACATTGGCCTTGGAGCTCGGTAGTGAGCTCTCTCCTTAAGTGGTGCTGCTGAGTCCAGTGATTGCTGGGGCCGTGGTATTTTTTTTTCCTAATATTAAAATGAGTGCATAATTATTAAGAGGATAAATACTTGTGTGTACCTTAAAATGATCTGGAAGACCACAGTGGCACGTGTACCATATTCTGTGGGAAATGCCGGACCAAAAGTTCTCAGAGCTCCAGTGTCCAGCACAGATACTTGGTGACATTGTCAGATGTTGTCAGATGGTGGGAAGGACCCCGTCAGCAAGGCAGATGGGCGCTTAGAGGAAGTGTTTTTAGGCAGGACCGTTCTTCCAACAGCAGTGTATCTTGGGTGATTTTTCAACACGAGCTTCTTTTTGAAAAACAAAAAACCACAGAAACGTTAGTATAGCTGATGGCGGCAAAGAGAGTTTCAGCCTCGGACTCGCTCTGCGGACACGCCCCCGAGACCTCTGCCCTGGTTTGACAGAGCTGTTTTTTCTGCTGTTTGTGTTATCTTCCAATTTATGGGATTCTGACTCCTTATCCAAGTTCTGTTTACCCCTGTCCAGGAGAGGTGGCATTTCTTCAGTGTCTAACAGCACCCACCCCAGACCTTGGAAGGAAACAGTGAAGAATGTCCTTGAGTTGTGGGTCCAAAGAGGTAGTGAGCAGGGGGCACCACAAATGAGAGGCGGTGAGGGGTACAGATATGTGGGGAAGGGTGGGTGCTGGGGGCACAGGCAGCCGCTCTGAGTCCAATGTGTAGCTGGCCATGAAGGTTGAGCATTAGCCACGCAGACCTGCAGGTGATCGGCACTGCGATCTCTTTGCAGCGGTATTCCCGGTCATCAGCGGGACAGCCTGTGACTTGCTCATTTTGCAAGAAAAGCAGAGACAACTCATTAGAGTTTGCATGCTCTGCTCTGTTCACCACTCACACACAGGCATATTAATCTTCCATGTACTCCGTGCTTTCTGTAAGCACTTCATGTTGCAATCAAGTCTCAATAAAAGGCAGAAAAACTGTAACCTACAAAGATCTGTTTCTGGAAACAGTCATCCAGAAAGAAGCCTGCTTTTATGTCTCTCTTCTCTCTGTCTCCCCACGTGTGTGTGTGTGATTTCTATAATCATGCCTGCATTCAAGGAAGCAACTTCTGGGGTAAAATGTTCCATAAACCACTTGGAGATGCATTCTAAATAGATGACAAATGTAGGTCTTTCTGGAGCCGGCAGCACCAAACAGACCTATTTCGAGAGAACAGTGACTTGACTGTGTCCTTGCAGGGTCACTTGCTGTCCCGTCTCTACCTGTGGTTTTTCAGGACCATGACCCTGTGTGGTGCTCTGAGTGGTCACCAAAACACAACACAACACAAAACAAACAAGCAAAACAACCCAGCATGTATTTTTAACAGAAAGGAAATTATTATTTCCTCTTTTGACTACCAAGAGACTTTGTTCAAGAAAGATGTCTAAGTGTGGATTTTTAGACAACAAAATGAGTCTCCGTTGTACAGATGAAGCAATAAGTTTTGACCTGGGTTTGCATTCACTTTTCTCTTAAGAAAGAAGGAACACACAAGGCCACCTGCAGCACAGCCGACGTAACCAGAAGAACAGGTTTCTGGAAAAGGTTGGAACAGAGGTGGTCTGTGTGCACTTAAACTCTCCTCTGCCATCTGCCAGCACCGTGTGCATTCACCTCGTAGCCCTTCCAAAACCAGCAGGTTCCCTGACGGATGTGGGTGGGTCTTCAGTTTGATGGATTGGCCCGCTCGTGGCCAATCAATGAAACGCTTTAAGCAAGCCATCCCTCTCCATTGCTGCATTTCCAACTCAGAGCCCCCCCGCCCCAGGTAAATATTTAGCCAATATTTGAAAAAACCTACAAGAAAAGCAGGAGATAAGAATGTTCAATATCAATTATTTTTGTACATTTTTAAACTGCATCCTTCCTAGGAAAATCCCTTCAGGGTCTCAGCACACCAAAGATTTTAAAGACATAAAATATCTCTGCGTAGAGCACAGGCCATTAAAAACACTAACTGAAGATGCAGCCCTGGGTAGAAGAAAGTCAGTTTTAGAGTTTCTATTTCTGTCGCCTAGACAATTATTATTTTAGCTGAAAGATGAATTTTCACAGAAAAAAATAATAATCCGGGCATATCAGGCTAGGTGTGCACAGACCCACTGGAAAAGGAGGTGGTGACCCAAGAAGCGTTTGTGCACTTGACCTCACGAGAAGGGTCCCCTGCCAGGGTTCTGCCGGATGCGAACCGGAAGCCGCCAGCTGGGAGGGAAGGTGGGGTAAAGGCGCCAGTGTCGCTGACTTAGGACAATCGGGGAGATTCGACTGCAGATTGCGATGAGCTGGAGAGTCAGTAAATGGAGGCGTGCGGTGCATATGTAGAAGAAGATGGGGCTCCAGGGAACGGGCTTGGCCACGCAGAGGCGATGACCTTGCGGACACTTAGGAGCGGCGAGGGGCGAGAAAGACGTTGGCTGCGGGAAGGCTTCATTCATTAGGCAGGTATTTTTTGAGAAACGGCCATGTCAAGGGCAGGTTTTTCAAATAATAGAGTAACCGAATCTAGAATGGAGCAGACCTTGTCGCTGCCTCCGCCACTCAGCTTTTCCATCCTCCTGTGATCTAACCGCTGTGGTTTTTACTCAGTATCTCCACCAGCCACTTAGGCGCCAGCTACTTCCGGGAAGCCAGCTCCGCGGGGACTCTCGGGATGGAGCACGTGGCTCGAAGTAATTCTATCCCCTCGCCCCGCTGATTGGTCCAGGGGTGGGTGTGCGACCCAAGGCTTGCTCAGACGTTCTGGAAAAGAAGTTCTTAGGACAGAGGGATGCAGGAAGTTGTTGGCAGTATATTGTGACCACAAGAGGGAGCCAGCCATGGGATGACAGTAACGAGAAGGAACAGAAAAGAAACTTCATCCTGATCGCTTCACTGCGCCACTGCATTCATCCAGCCCCACAGGCTGGCACACTCTGGGCTTTGCATCCACCTGAGCACCCACACCCACTTTGCTTCAGCTAACTTCTGTTACCTGCAACAGTATCCATCCTAACCAAAACACGGGACATCCTGGCAAATGGCTTTCAAGCAATGGCATAAAATATTGGTTCTGATTTACTTTCAAATAGTAAGCCACCACAGGGTCTTCGCTAGATGCCAGTGATGGTGGGATAAATCCACTTTAGCACCAGAACTCATTATCAAAAGCAAGGTTTTTTAAAATGGGAAATTTAAGCGTCCACTGCCATGCCTGGCATGACTCAGTAGGTTGGGCATCATCCCACAAAGCCAAAGGTCACTGGTTTGATTCCCGGTCAGTGCACATGCCTGTGTTGTGGATTTGGTCCACAGTTGAGTTGCGGGCGAGAGGCAACCAATCAATGTTTCTCTCCCTCTCTTTCTCCCTCCCTCCCCCCCCCAAAAAAAAAATCCACTTGAGAGAGTGATTCAAACCTTCCTGAGGCTATTGTTTAAGCGTGGTGATAGCACAGAAGATCCTAGAAAGAGCGGCAGCGGGAATGATGGGTTCTTGGAGGAGTTTCCGTGACCTGCCTGGTCGTTGCAATGCAAAAGCTCAGTGTGAAGAAAGAAACACGGAACAATCTGGCCTCCAGCCACTTTAACTTAAAGAGAACTCCACCTTGTGCCTCGGAGACAGACAGTCCCTCCTGAAAAGCCGCTTCCCTCTCTGGCAGGAGGTCGGCCATTAAGTGCCATAGAACGCTGACCCTATCGGGGTGAGGGTTAACCCTAAACTCCTAACAGAAAAAAGGAGCTTAGAAATAAATCAAAGGTGGTGCTTTTTTTTTTTTCAAATTAAAACTATAATGAGATGCTGTGCCACACCCTCTAGAATGGCTGAAATTGAAAAGGCTGCGATACCAAGTGTTCGTGAGGCTGTGGACCATTGGAATTCTTGGGCGTTGCTGCTGGGACTGACAGTTTACATCCACAGCTCCATGTTTAATAAAGTTAAATGTACATTTAGAGTCTGACCCAGCAATTCCATTCATAGGTATTTACTCAAGACAAACATGTCCACAAAAAGACTCATGCAGGAGTATGCACAGTAGCTCTATTCATAATGGGCCCAAGCTAAATACAATCCAAATGACTCCCAGCGGTGAACAGACACGCGGCAGTGTATTTGCACAAGGAAACACTACTGACAATAAAAAGGAGCGAACAAACCACAGGTGCCTGCACCAGTGTGGAGGAGTCACCAAAATAGTGTATTGAGTGAAACAGGCCAGACCAGAATATATGTCTGGTTCTGTTTATGTGACATCCACGGAAAGGGAAGACCAATCTGCAGTGCTGGGAAACCGACCGGTGGTGGCCTGGGGTTGGAGTGGAAGGGACTGGTTCAGGAGGGGCATGGAGAGCGTCCTGCAGTGGAAGAAACGCTCTACGTCTCGACTGTGGTGGGGCTTGCGTGTGCCTGTACCTTCGTCAGAATTCACACACTGTTTTACTTAAAGTGGGTGCATTTTATGTTATGGACACTACACCTTGATAAAGTTGATTTTTAAAAGAAAAAAAAAAGGCATTGTATTTTTTAATGTTCACGACAGCCCTTCTCCCACCCGCTGTGCTGTCAGAGTGGTTATTGCCGCTGGTCTCCCATCTGGTGTGTGACATTCTGGAGAGTCGGGGTGGTGGGTTCTCATTCCCAGCTCCCCCCTGGAGCTCAGCACACTGCGTGGAACAGAGTATGTGTTCAATATTCTGCTGCTGC